TATAACGGGTACTGAACAAAGATAATTGCTCACCGAAAATGGAGGTCAGAGTTTGCACAGTCTCATCGAAGCGGAAATCCCTTGGATTCTTTGGCAGCACAAAACTGGTATAGCGTTCATGCTCAACTGCACCAAGTTTACGCAACAACAACCGAACTTCCCATGCATCATCTTGTACCGCCAACTTAACACGGAAAATATCTTCATATTTCTTGAACCAGGAATCAAAAGTTACTCCGTTTGATTCATCGAAAACGAACTCTGTGATTGCTGTCGTGACCGCGTCTACTGAAGACCGTGTGCCAGCAGCTTGGGGCTCAGATTGTACGTGCAGCTTCTACACAAATAACTCGAATAATTGCCTCTGAGATTTCTCGAACTGGAGATGTTGTTGATGGAGAAGCTGCTGCGTCTGCTCAAATGAAATGGACATAATTGTGCAACACGTCTATCGCCAGAATCTGTTATGTCCTCAGAGATACGACTTAGATTGCGCCCCGCAAGTCAAAAGACAACCCACCGGACGAGAAGTTTCACGGGTATCTTTGCGAAACAAAGAACAGGCCGACGTGGGAATGAAAACACACCGACACAGTTCAAATCACGGCTGTGTGCTAGTTTGAATTTATAGATCTCAAGAATCACGGGACATGTGAGTGGTGTGAAACAAGCGATAGTAACAAATGTGCTGCAACACAGGAAAACACTAGTCTGCTTGTAACTGAGAATGTTCTGATACAAGGCACACGGTCACTTGTTGGGAACTGAGCACGTACCTTCCCGAACAAGTCAATTTGTTTCGGTTCTGTGCGCATTTGACTTTGGTCTGTGTGAAAATTCTGTTTATCCATGCAAGTTAAGATTTGGTCTGAATTAGTGGCGCCAACTCGACTTGATTTTCAGACAGTGCAATTTTTCTCGGAGCAGGCCGTTCGAGACCTAACAATCACTTAAAGAGGTGGCCGTAACTGCAGACGCGGCATTCGAGAGAATCCCGCAGCACACCAAAGCAGTCGGTAACATTTTCGCCACAGAATTTTAGATGAGCATACAAAACTAGGTGTTGGTGGCATCTATGAAATCCTCCGGATCGCAGACGCATCGTCCGACTACTCGAATCTCCTCTCCGAATACCCGCGACTAGTTCGACCGGCTGCAGAGCTTCCAACAGTCACGACAGAGGTCCCTCACCCCATAGTCACGCGCGGCCAAACACCTAGCGTCAGACCAAGACGGCTTGCTCCGGACAAACTATGTGCAGCACGAGCTGAATGCGACCACATGCTTCGGCTCAGTATCGTCAGACCGTCCAACAGCCCATGGACGTCGCCTTTCCACATGGTCCCGAAGAAGGTCATGGGGGACTGGCGTCCTTGAAGCGACTACTGAACCTTGAATACGGTTACAACGCCTGATCGCTATCCGATCCCAAACACCGCAGATCTCCCCGCCAGTCTGGCAGATTAAAACCACTTTATCAAAATCGACTTGGTATGGACATACAATCAAATTCCGGCGGCAGAAGCGGACATAGATAAAACTGCCGTGACAACTCCGTTTGGTTTGTTCGAATTCCCGCGCATGCCATTTGGTCTAAAGAAAGCCGCACCAACTTTTCAGCGATCCATCGACCAAGTTTGTCGCGCGGCTTAAACTACGCTTACGCTTATCTCGACGACATCTTAATGGCGAGCTCTTCAACAGAAGAGAATTGGCGCCACGTCCGAACACTTTGATTGGTTATCTCAACACAGGGTGACGATCAACGCCGAAAAGTGTTCGTTTGGTGTCGACTCAGTAAAATACTTCGGCCATCGTATCACCTCTGCAGGACAAAATCCACGCCATAATTAACTAACCCGAACTTCATTCTTTCAAATAGCTTACGCATTTTTATGGGCTTGTTAAGTTTTATCGACGGTTCATACCAAACTGCGCGTCATTGATGCAACCCCTCACAAACCCTCTCCGAGGGAAACTCAAAAAAATCAAATTTGCTGCCGCAGCACGCTGCTTTTAAGTCGCTGAAGTGACTATCGCCAACATAGCATCAATAGCGCATCCCGACCAGGTAACCTCACTGCCAATCAGTACCGAGGCCTCGGACGTGGCAGTCAGTGCTGTTTTGCAGCAACGAGTAGGTAACACGTGGTAGCCCTTAGGGTTCTTCTCCAAACGCCTACAACCTGCCGAATCTCGCTACAGCACATTCGGCAGAGAACTACTAGCCATATACGTAGCTATGCGCCACTTTCGACACGTAATAGAAGGCCGGACTTTGTCCGTTTTCACTGACCAGAAAACATTAATGTAGGCGCTCGGCTCGATAACCGCCAGGTGCTCCGCTAGGGAATCCCGCTACCTAGACTATATCGCTCAGTTTACGATCGACATACGACATGCCTCAGGTGTGTGCAACGCCGTCGCCCATGAACCTTCTCGTGTTCAAGCGATCTCCGCTGACGCCATGAATACTATCGACCTATCAGCCATAGGAGCTGCATATGAAAACGATCCCGAGGTTTATCTGTTACGCAAAATCATCTTCACTTGATGTATGAGCTCTCCCGTTAACACACCAGACAGCACTATTATATGGAACACATCGCTGGGCACGCCCCACCGTCGTACCACGCGAGTTCCAACGGATAGTGTTCGACGCAATGCATGGGTTCTCTCACCCAGGCATTCATGCATCGGTTAAACTGACAATCACAGGATTCCTTTGGCGCAATGTCAACCGTAATGCTCATGCTTGGTCTACCGCTTGCCTTCCGTGTTAACGCGCGGTGCATAAGCACACGAAAATCCCAGTAGGAACATTTCTCATGCCAAATGTACGTCGACCTCGTAGGTCCTCTGCCGCCTTCGATTGGCTCTATATATCTAGTGAGCTGTGTCGACCGATTCACTAGGTGTCTGGAAGCTGTACCCATACCTAATTGCTCTTCGGAAACGGTAGCGAAAGATTTTCTAGAGCGCTGTGTAGCTCGATACGGCTGTGCTGCCATCGTGACCATCGATCGAGAGTCACATTTTTCGCCCACTTTTTTCACGTTGATTAGGGATTTAAATTGCCGCCGCGTCCAGACGACGGCGGGTCATCCATGCGCTAAATGCATGGTGTGGTGTCTTCAATGCCAGTTGAAGGTAGCGCTAGGTGCGCACGCAGATCCTTCATGGTCCGAAACCCTTCCCCTCGTCCTCCTAGGCTTAAGAAACATGGTTAACACCGATTTCGACGCAACACCAGCACTGCTTGTCTCTCGCTGCAGGCTACGGTTGCCCGGACAGCTGGTAGCACCAGCACCGTCCATTTTCTCCTTCGACAATGGAAGTTAAACCGATCGGTTGGATCAGCAAATGCGTACGTTACACCCAGGCACTTCAGGGGTGTAGAAGACACCGGTGTACGTGCCCGGAAAACTGTCTTTGTGCTCACACGTACTGCTTCGCATAGACAGTGTTCGATAGCCTCTGCAATCGCCGTACATCGCACCCTTCAAAGTAATCAACCGAACAAGTAAAACATTTACGATCGACCGTGGTGGCCGACGCAAAATTGTCCCCATCAACTGTTTAAAACCAGCCTTTGTGGAGGAAACTACCTTGCTTCCACCATCTAACAATGCTGCGTGCGACCTTACAACTAACCGCACCGATTTTCAACAACCTAATGTCGTCGAACCAGACCACGATCCCGGTCTGCAAGCATCAGCCGTCCCGACATCTTCCGAACCTAGCCTGTCGCCTCCCACGACCAACCGCCGTGGTCGGGAGGTTCGTAAGCTCGTTCGCTTTTCCGAATATGCACAGTGTAAATAGGCTTAGGCTTGTTAATATTGTAAATATGTGCCCTGTTGTTGGTTGATTAACGTTTCGACAACACAAAAATTAAAAAAGTTGAAAAAACTTATTTTAAAAAATATCCAAAAAGCTAAATACATTTATACGCAGATCATTCATTCGTTCTTTTTGGCGTGTACTGCGCGTGCTTTTATGCTTTCTTGTCTATACAGGCCCAAACACTCCCCTTCGATCGACTGACCCACACGAGCAACGTTTTCGAGGATCGACGCAGTCAACGAAGAGCCAGGTGCGAACGCGGGTCGTTTCTTCGTGGGACGAGTCGTCTTGGCGCGGGGTGGGGTGCGTCGGTGGGAGACTACTCCCAAAAACACTGTTTGGTAGCAGCGGAGGTTCAGGTCCTGTCGACCTTTTCTGGGCCAGCCGGCAAGCCCACTACAACGTCTCGCAGAAATGCACCCCGTCCTGCGATCAATAAGTCATAAATAACAAACGGCACAGCAAATTCTAATTGTCGGCTACATCCATTTTTGAACAGGAACAGATATTCCTTTGTGTACGAATATCTTCTACGAACTTCGATTCACAACCATTTGTGATTTCGAAGGCTTGCTGGTTCAGCCTTCTAGTGGCAACCCAAAAGAGATTTCCTATCATTTTAGGTACGAACGTGTTCCTCAATCGTAAATTATTCGGTTTTGTTTTAAACCAATCCTACGGCCACTTTTACCTACACCCAACTCATCACTCGTATCCACCATAAGTCACGACAATCATTCGTTTTCGTCCGTTTGTAGCCTTCCTCGAATACAATCTGTTGTGTCCACTCTTCCGGCATTCTGGTATCCACACCAGCGCAAAGCGCACCGTCTCGGACTAGTGCACACTAGTCCTATAAATTGCAGCAGACAGAACAGTATGTCGAAGATCCGGTGCTGATGCATTTCGACTTCATCGTGTATCGTAATGTCTAGCGGTGAGTACCTGTGCGTAGGGACTGTTATTATACCCGATGCTAGTATAAGTAGATATAAAGAAAGTTGCGACGGGCCCCAGTTCCAGTTTATCGGTGTTTTGGGTGCATATTGAATCATTGCTAGCGGTTAATATATGGATGATTAAGAGAAGAAAAACGACAACAAAGTTTCGATAGCACATATCTGGACGTAGGAAGAGGAAATTAGGGAACCTACCGAAGAATACGAGCAGATTCCCGAAGCATGTGCATTTGCATTAGACTCTGTGCAAACCACAATTTGGCCTTTGATTGCATGATAGGTGAATCCATTTCTGTGGCCAGTTTTAATTGGATTACGGATATCTTGCCAGCGATATCAGCCTACCAGAAAATAAACTGTAGTCTAAAACACTTACAGCGTTATAGCAGTAATCCCCCAGAGAAGAGAAGCCGCCTCCAAGAGTCGAGAACCAGGCCATAGCTTCTTCCATCAAAATGTACTTCAAAAGCTGGCTATGAACTATACAAGAACTGAGGGATTAGCATGAGTTGTGACCTTACAAAACCTCATTATGGACGTCCTTGACGGTACCATTACAAAAGAAGAGCACGTGATAGTGTCCATCGGCTTTTAGCATACGTTTAACGAAGCGGACGAAATTGGGGCTGCGGGAAAACCTAAGTAGAGTCAAAAACTGTCCAACGTTAAGGAAGGAAATGTGTGGATCCAGGCAGAAGACTGTGTTGCAGCACGAAACACACTTTAGGCTTTCCCTGTGGCAATCTGTGAAATCTTCCCACCGCACCAAGTCGTTAATGCTAATCGACCCATCCATAGGACTGCGGGAGAGCGGACCGGCGAGTGTAGTATACCTCCGGTCAAGGATTCCGACGGCTTCCATGTCCAGTGCGTACGTAGGTCGTAATAGACTTGAGGAGCTATAATGTAAAACAAACGCCTCGTAGATGACTGGATGATCATAACACAACCACAAAACGAAACGTGAAATGACGAGAAAGCATCAATTGCCGTCAAGCCGAGGTATAACGACCTCCTTACCTTATGGGTCACTCTAAGGTCACGATCGGACCTGCTACATTATCCACCCTGTTTATAAGTATTGTACTCAGCGCCTACTGAAGTCATAGTCGGTCTCGATGTGCTGATGTGCAAAACAACTGAAGAGTGCGGTGTGCTAGGTTCGAGAGATTAGCGACAGCAGTATGGTCACAGGAAAAGTAATGATCGCCTCAAGGGCAACGATCCAGCTCCGGAGAGTGCTGTCGGGAACTTGCAGGGTCGCCAAGTATCTAGTATGCATCTCGTTGAGGATTCCGAGGGCTTCCGCGCCCAGTGAGTACGTAGGTCGTAATAGACATGGGGAGGTCAATTTCCGCTCTATCACAACCCGTGCTGATAGCGCATGACTCAGAACTGGTCATGCCGAGTTCCTTCAAGTAGTACTCAGCAATGTGTGTAGCCTAAAGAACAAGGTACGGAAGGTAGGTCTACTTATGGAGAAATCTCGTCCCGACATACTCGCTTTCAATGAAATACGGCTGTACCCGGATATTATGGAGGGTGAAGTAGGCCAATCTGGCTACGCACTGCTTATAATTGATCGCCGTGTTGGTCGTTAAGGCGGAGGCGTAGTACTTTATGTGAAATTTAAATTAGAGATGTAGAGGACCAAATCACATTCATTGGATTAAACTGTTCAAGGCCTAGCGGCTTTAGTGTGCACTTCCTCCGCCCAGTTTACAGTCGTTTGTACGTACGGGAAAGTTGGAAATACCTCCATTATCATCATCATCATCATCATCATCATCATCATCATCATCATCATCATCACCATCACCATCACCATCATCATCATCATCATCATCATCATCATCATCATCATCATCATCATCATCATCATCATCATCATCATCATCATCATCATCATCATCATCATCATCATCATCATCATCATCATCATCATCATCATCATCATCATCATCATCATCATCATCATCATCATCATCATCATCATCATCATCATCATCATCATCATCATCATCATCATCATCATCATCATCATCATCATCATCATCATCATCATCATCATCATCATCATCATCATCATCATCATCATCATCATCATCATCATCATCATCATCATCATCATCATCATCATCATCATCATCATCATCATCATCATCATCATCATCATCATCAGCATCATCATCATCATCATCATCATCATCATCATCATCATCATCATCATCATCATCATCATCATCATCATCATCATCATCATCATCATCATCATCATCATCATCATCATCATCATCATCATCATCATCATCATCATCATCATCATCATCATCATCATCATCATCATCATCATCATCATCATCATCATCATCATCATCATCATCATCATCATCATCATCATCATCATCATCATCATCATCATCATCATCATCATCATCATCATCATCATCATCATCATCATCATCATCATCATCATCATCATCATCATCATCATCATCATCATCATCATCATCATCATCATCATCATCATCATCATCATCATCATCATCATCATCATCATCATCATCATCATCATCATCATCATCATCATCATCATCATCATCATCATCATCATCATCATCATCATCATCATCATCATCATACACGTCAGCTAGAGGTGGGGAACACTTCAGCTACTGTGCCGCAATACATAGAAAAAAGGAGAAAAAATGCAACTGGTGCAAGCTGGCTGAGCTACCGGTAACGGATGGGCATCATTCCGGTAAGCTACCAGCCGGCTGCTGTGCACCAAAAAAATTACTATGCAAAATTATATAAGGCTAAATAATGAGATCGTGGTTGGAAGGGGAGGATAAGAGGGATGGGTGAGATAAAGAAACTCACAGCACGAACGCCAATGAGGTCGGCTCCTAGCCATAGCAGCAAGTGTGTCCAACCAAACGTGTTCATCGTCTTTCGGACCCCAACCAGGGAGCCGAGACGCTCCAACCGAGGCCAGCTCAGAAGTGAGGGCCTTCATTCCTCTCGACCAAGTCATCGCTTGGCCACCCCTCATCTTCTTCCATCCACACCCCCGACGCGCAAACACACGTCGAGGGAGTCGGTGGGCTGGCATGCGTAACACGTGGCCGAGCCATCGGAGCCTGATGCGTGAAATAACGGTGCTGAGCGGTTCAGATCCTTTTCCTGTGCCATAAACAAGGCGTCGAACACGCTCGTTGCCCACGCGGTGTTCCCACCAGATGAGAGCTAAATTACCAAGGCACCGGTGGTCAAACGTAACTAGCCTCTTCAGGTCCGCTGCTTTAAGCGGCCAGGTTTCACAACCGTACAGTAGAGTCGAACGTACCGCTGCATTGTACACTGTACCCTGCAAGGCAAGAGTGATGTCGCGCCGGCGCCATAAGTGGCGAAGGTTAGCAAAAGCGCCCCGAGCTTTTGCTATACGATTCGTGATTTCATCTTCAATCCCACGGGCGCTGATACAACTTCCCAGGTAGTTGAATTTTTGAACGACTTCTAGCTGATCCCCAACAAGGGTCAGCGTAGGAGGCGGTCCAGACCAATCTTGGAGGAACGTTTTGAACTTCGAGGGTGCGAAGCAAAGTCCGAAGTGACGGACAGGTAGTGCTAATCTGTCCAGTGCCGCTTGGCACGTTTGTGAGCTGTCACAGATCATGGCAATATCATCAGCATACTCTAAGTCAAGAAGGCGTTTTCCTGGGAGCAGACCCACACCTTCTAAGTCGTGTCCTGTAAACGCGATTTCCATGACTTCGTTGACAGCGAAGTTGAAGAGGAAAGGTGACAGCGGGCATCCGTGTCTCACGCCGCTGGAGATATTAAAGGGCGACGACAACTTGCCGTAAGCCCTCACTCTGCCCGAGCTACGCGCATATAATGCCCGGATAATATTCACATATTTCTCAGGTACACTTTTCCTGAGTAGACAGTCCCAAAGTGCATGTCTATCCACCGAATCGAATGCACCTTTGATATCGAGGAACACGACAACGGTGGGCCGCCAATATGTGTGACGATGCTCCAACAACTGACGCAAAGTGAAGATGTGGTCAATGCAGCCACGACCTCGACGAAATCCAGCTTGCTCTTCACGAATCTGGCTTTCGCGAGTGCCAGTCAGTCTGTGAAGAATGACAGAGGCAAGCAATTTGGAGGCGATGGAGATCAGACTGATCCCCTATGGTTGTCGCATTCCGATCGTGAGCCTCCTTTGAAAATTGGGACTATGATGGAGCGGCTCCAATCGGTTGGGACACTTTCCTGCTCCCACAGTTTCACTAGTAACTCGTGTAAATCATCCACAATAGCAGGTCCCCCGAATTTGAAAAAGGGCTAAAGAAGGTCATCAGGTCCCGCAACTTTATATAACTTCAACAGTTCGATCTCACGTTCGACTTCTGAGCGAGAGGGTGGATCCAAAGGAACAGCCCACAGAGCAGGGCGATCACTGGTCGGCGAGAAATCTAACAACTCCGACCGATTAAATTGTCTTTCAAAGTGTTCAACCCAACGTTCCAAGCGTTTTGATAAGTTGTGGATAGGCTGTCCACTCTCGTCACGAATAGTTTCACTAACACCAGGTCTCCTGCTGCCCGTTTCCCGTACAAGACGGAATAACTCACGATGGTTACCAAGGGCAGCGGCCATTTCCATCTCTGTTGCATGACGAGACCACCAGGATTAGCGGTCTCTCGTCAGGCTAGCACGGAGTTTCGCCCGGAGCTCTTTGCGAGTTTCATTGTGTTCGCTTCCAGCCGGAATATGCCGGCGAGCATCTATAAGTTCCACAGACTGCGAAGAGACCCAATGTCCATGTTGGCGATTAGACATACCACATGGGGATTTGGCTGCTGCAATGAGGCTGGACCGTACCGTGGCGTGATGGTTTGTGTGCCTCAGTGATCCATTGAGCTATACTGGGTGGTGCTTTTGCACCTTCAGAGCCACTCATACCAGATTGGTCAATGGTTAGAGACCAGACAAACTCAGCCTCCTGGTCCTCCAGGTTGGTGGTTGAAATGAGGGTGGCTCCTTATTCCTTAAAACGGACTCCTTGTAGCCCAATGCCGAACCCGCTGTCTTGCGGCCCGGTTTTTGCACCAAAGGCTTTGGTTGAGAACCCTAATTGTTCTCCTGTCTATGCCTGGGCAACTTGACAGTATCCTGCGCACGCAATACAATGAATCTTTTCCCAAACAAATTTCTGTTGCTCTGGCCACCGCTGAGGATAATCAACGGTGCCCTATCTGCTGCATCGAGCAGGGTGGATAGGGGTTTGGATGCTACTACTCAAGCCTTCCAGTCTTCCTATTCCCCTTCTTGCGCTTTTTCACCCTTATCGTCCCGTTCCAGCTTCACTTTTATCCCCCCTGTTTTCAACCCCCCAATTCTCGGCCCTCCCCCACCTTGCTTCAATAGTCGCTTGTCTTTTGGTTTCAACTCACATGTGAACGCGGAGCGTTATTGCTGCACTGTCAACAGGCCCATGTCCAAGCAAGCGGCCCATTCCAGTTCATCGGCTTCCATTTGGAGCCCTCGATCCTCCTTCAGACTGGCATGCCTCAATGTTCGCACACTGCTTCAAATCGGTCAACAGGCAGCATTTGCCCGAACATTAGAGACCCTCTCCATCGGTATCTGCTGCTTATCGGAGACCCGCCTGCAAGACTCGAGCTCTGTACTCACACTGCGACCCCCTTCAGGTGACACTAGCAGCACTTTCTCATTGCGCCTATCCGATGACGATGCAGCTTCGAGCACCAGCCAAGCCGGTGTTGGTATTGCTCTGAGTCCCCGGGCTAAAGCTGCTCTGGTTGATTGGATTCCAATCAGTAGCCGGATGTGTGCGGTCCGATTGGCTGGCTCGTTCAAAGCTTCGAAGTCGTGTGGGACTAACAGGTGTCTATTCGTTATCGCTGCCTATGCACCGACAAACTGTAGCGATGACTCGGTAAAAGACGACTTCTATCGCCAACTGAACGAACTCCTTCGCCACAGAGGAAGCTCGGACACTGTAGTGTTGACTGGAGATCTGAACGCTCATGTTGGAAAATTATCCACAGATGAGCTGCATCTGGGCAGCCAACATGGTATAGGCTCCCGTAATGATAACGGTGAGTGGTTACTTCATTTGTGTGAGGATGCTCGCTTATTTCTTGCGAGCACTAATTTCCGACACAGCACCCGCCGGAGAGTGACTTGGCACCCACAAGCCTCGAACCAGCTATGGACGCGAATGATCACATTGCGATTAGTTACCGATGGAGAGGCTGCGTCCAGAACTGTCGCTCGATTTGGAGCACAGGTGTTGACACCGATCATGCACTAGTATGTGCTGACCTGCGGATGCGCTTTGGCGGACGCCCACGACGATGTTGTGAGCGCATTGACACAGGCAGACTGGCGAAGCCAGCTGTTCTGAATGCGTATGAAAGTACGCTGTCATGCGAGTTGGATAAACGCTCACTGGATGCAATTGAAGCTCATGATAGAATTTACGACGAAATTGAACAAAAATGGGGAAATCGGACAACCCTGACGAACGCCACTTGTGGTCGGAAAGCTATCCGATAGGACACCGTAAACCCTGACGCGGCCTGTACTGTTCGAGTATAGAGCACGGATGTTCACATATTTCGTGGGAACACCTTTCCGCGCAAGTATTTCGAACAGCATCGATCGATCGACTGAATCGAACGCACTCTTGAAATCGAGGAACACAGCTATTGTCGGTCTGCGGTATGCGTGGCGCTGCTCTAGCACCTGCCGCAAAGTGAATATATGCTCTATACAACCACGTCCTGGGCGGAAACTAGCCTGCTCTTCTCTAATCCGAGATTCCCGTTCAGCAGTGAGGTGACGAACGATAATCGAGGCCAATAATTTTGTCACAACTGGCGTTAGACTAATACCGCTGTGGTTAGAACAGTCTGTGCGACTGCCCTTCTTGTATATTGCCACCATAATCGATTCGCTCCAACTAACCGAAACGCTCTCTTCTTTGCAGATACATTCGAATAAGGTCAGTGATTGGCAGAGGACCTCACCTCCATCCTTAAATAGTGCAGGTGGGAGGGAATCCGGGCCAGCTGCACGAAAACGATTGAGGGCTGTAATCGCGTTTCGGACCTCGGCCTCCGACAGAGGCTCTAAGCTAACCGTCCATGGCTCGTCCTGCATCACCTGAGTAGGAAGAGGTCCGGGAGCAGGAGGCCAGCTGAACTGATCTTGAAATTGTTCCACCCAACGAGCCATACGGCGCTCCTTATTGTGTATCAGTACACCCGCGCTGTCTCTGATTGTCTCACTGACGCCTGGTTTTCTGGGACTAGTGGTGCGGATAAGCTGGAAGAGCTTGCGGTAATTGCCTACTGCTCCTGCCTCCTCCATTTCTTGAGCCCGACTGGTCCACCAGGCTTCCTTGTCAGCATGCAGGCTCTGCTTTAGTTCACGCCTAATAGCCTGTCTGGTCACATTGTGTTCAGAGCCAGCCGGGAGGTGTCTTCTAGCTTCCAACAGGTTCACCGACCGCTCGGATACCCAGTGACTGGTAAGGTGACGATTGATAGTGCCACAAGCAGATGCTCCTGCGTCGTGCATGGCGGCCGAGATCCTATTCCACTGAAGCTCAGCGTCATTAGGACAAGACTGCGGAAGTTCAGTATGCAGTGCGTCTTGATAGGCTTGCCTGACCGAGGACTGAGACAATTTCTCAGTTGCCAATCGTATGAGACGCTTGGTGCGCCTCCCGGTAAAGTTCATGGAGAAACGACAATGTACCAAGGCATGATCAGAGTCGACACAGGTACTCCAGTACGAGCGGCAATCCAGGATGGAACCACGCCATCTGTAACTTATGGCAATGTGATCAATTTGGGTCCATCGCTGGTCAGC